AGAAAAATGGAAGTGTGCAAAGAAGATTACTCCAACTGTTAACATAGGGCACATACACAGACCGCCACTATCCAGACCTGAAGAAGTGGCAAACTAGAAGCAAGGAAAGAGGAAGTACTATAAGTGAAATCAAGGCTTTTGACAAATTCCTTTGTTTGCCTTTTTATTTAGAAGCTATATATATTACATGCAGGGATATAATCTTCTCTGAAATAATGGAATCTTGCAACACTGAGACCCTGTTGATGAAACCTGGAGAGATTCTTAAAATACCAGAAAACAAGTTTTTTGCATTCACGTATTTCCATTATTTTTCCTTATACAAATTATTAGCTCTTAAAAAATAAAAATCTTGTTGTTTTCTAGAATTCCTTGTGCTCTCAGGATCACTGCTACGCTGACTGCATAGGGCATGAATCTGTTTCACCAGGCCAGTTTGGACTTCTAATAACAAAAGTTTGAAAGTCAGTATTGGAAAGATCTGAGAGTAGTGCAGCATGCAGTTGAGGATCTGCATCCTTTAACTCTTTATTACTAGAAGCAGCAAGACTATTCAGATAATTTCTCAACTGTTTCTCATTACATCTTGTATGAGCCAAGGAATTGCAGCATATATCCCAAAAATCTATCCCAAAGACAAAACAACACCAAAACCCCATTGCCCTGTCATGGCTCTTCAGGAGCTGGTTGTTGACATACACATGCAGCAGGTGGACTTTCAGTGAAGCATATAAATCCTGTACAGCAGACTAAGGGAATAGCTTTTGGGGGGGCAGAGCAGCCTGCCAAACTATGCCTGCTAGGTGATTGAAGCATTGAATATCACAGGAGCCCTCCTAGACCTAGCTGAAGATTTGGGGGCCATACAGCCCCCAGAGATTTTTTTCCTTTTTAATTTAAAATGTGTGATTACCCCTTACTTTCTGCCACCTGTTCTGTTTATAAACTTCTGCAGGGCCCCTCTCTCTGCTCTAATTTCCAACAAGCTGTCATGTTGCCCTAACCCATGGGGCCACCTCCTCCCTGAGGCATTGAGATGACTCATGTGCATTCATGTATGCAGAGTGGCAGCTGGCCCTAAGGCCAATAAGGAGTGTGACCCATCTATCAGTTATTTGATTTTCTTGAAATTCTGAACCCTGATAAAATAGACAACTCATGCAGAGCTTCTCTGCTTAGTAGTATTTCTGTCATTTCCTTGATTTTTACAATGGTTTCTGGAAAGCTACCATTCACAAAAAAATGTATGGAAAAACTTGGAAGTCCATTAAAATTTTCATCATTTCAGACTCAAGACACCCTTACTTCTAGGAACCCCATGTACAAATTCAGGGAGTTCCCTCAGGAAAAAAAAATCATTTTATTCTCTCTGAAATCACAGTAAGCTAGCAACTACAGAGTAGCCATTCTTACCCATACACTGCTCCTCGTCTTTCTTCACTTTCCATCAGTTTTCCAGTCAACAATGCCTGTCTGATGAGTACCACTTAATTTTGTGTTACCAAACCCTCACAAATATAATTTCAAGTAGTACAAAGCATGGTCTCAGTAAAGGTTGTTTCAGGGTGTTTTTGCAATTCAGGAAGGAGACTCAGGTGATGAAAGCAGTCCAATTACATTGCATGAACTCATTTCTCACTGAAAATGTCAGTTTGAAGATTTTCTTTGTGACTGGAACAAATACAAGCTTTTAGGGCTTTCTGAGACAGACACCACAATATGATCAACAGGGATAAACCACATGTGATACATTTCTCTCCTCCACTTCTAGCTCTGAATGGGAAATGAAGGAAAGAACCTTGGCAGATTTACTGGGTGTCTTAGGACTTCTCTTTCACTGAAATGATCAGTGCAGGATTTCACTCACTGCCTCTAGAAGTATGTTCACACAGGCTTTCCACCTTCACACACATTGTGAACTTGAACAGCGCCTTGATTAAACATTTGATTTCTTTCTTCCTTTCCCCAAGCTGATTTAGATCTTAGTGCCTACACAAAGCGCAGTGTTAATGTATGTAATGCAGCCAGTATAAACCCACAAGAATCTACCATGTCAGCTTTTGTGAAAATCTAGTTTTAAATATCTTATAACCTTAAGTCTTAAAATGTCAGCATCTGTTAGAAGCATTGCCTGTTCACTGGCCTACTGCCTTCTGCTCTATGTCCTGTTTTTGTGCCCAGTGCTTATGTTGGCATGATCTGAACAGCTCCTGCTCAAATCCCAACTACAACATTTTATTAAACCATGCAGTTATCACCATAATCCCATATTAGGGCCTGAGGAACCTAGCTCTGATAGTAGGGTGTATTTTCAGTTCAAAGCCTGTAGCCAGAAGATTACTAAATCCCCCAGCTGTGAGAAAATTTTCCCATCCCAGAGTCAAATCAGTGAGAAAACACACAGGTCCCTCAGCCTCCTCTTTAGGATGCAGTCGAGTAACCTATTCCACATTTTCAGACTGGCAAAATTAATTTCCCTCAAACCTTTAAACCTACCATTTGAGGTTTTGCATATTCTTCAGATACTGGGTTGGGCATTTTACACTCTCTAGGCACTGTCTAAGCACTACAGGAAAGAAAAAACCTTTTCACCCCATTTCAGAGTTTCCAAATTTCTTATGCCTACTTCTCCATTCACCTAGTAATGCTTTGCCTTTGTGTAAGGGCATTACACAGCACTTCTCACCAGAATTTATGACCCTCAATGAATAATTGAATTCATATACAACTTAGACACTCAAGACAGTTAAAAGAGTAGTCCCAAAGGCAAACAGTGATGTGCTTGCACCAAAACAGCACAAGTACTGCAATAGCATAATAGTAATAAACAAAGTTGCCATTCCACCTCACAAAAAAAATTTGCACGTGTCAACAGCATTGCACAAAATGGGAACTAAACCCATGAGTGCATTTCCAAAAATATATGCTTGGAGAGATGCCATAAACAGCAGCATCACAACAGGAAACTAGATACACTTCCAGAGGTCCAGTATCTCTTATCACACATACCACTGCGACAACTACTCAGTTAAGGGCTTGGAGAAAATGTAATTTCTCCTTGCAGGGGAATAAAGCCTGTATATATAGCACATACAAAGTAAATTCTAATTCTAAGACTGTTGAGAACAGAAGGTAATAAAGCAATACCTGTCTTCTTTCCAGTTCCATAACTACTTAATATTAATGAGCCAAGAAAATTCTTGCCATCCATTTTCCAATGTTCATTCATGTTCTGCACTTTGTACCAGATCCTTCAGCTACTTGCAGATTCAAACACTGCAAGGGAGATAGGGTTACCTGTGTCTAAAAGCAAAGAAATAATATAGTGCTTTAATCACAGACCATCCCTAATTGGAAGCCATAAATTAATGATCTATACCTATACCACAGCCTTTCTTGAGAAATGTTATGGGTTTTTGCCAAATTATAATTTCAGAATTTCAGTTCTGTGTAGACTATATGAGTATCTACAGTGTTTTAATAATCTATTTGTATATACTTATTGGTAGTTGGATGGAGCATGTTCTACAGCAATAATAAAAATAAATCAATCTATAGCTCTTAAGTACTTTACCACAGAGTCATAAGTACCATTTCAATCGGACTTATTAATGGGATTTTTTAATTTTAGTGATTTAATGCACTATGGTGATTCTACAGTATATTTAGCTTTCCCATGTGAAGCTCATAAACCAGAGACAAGAATGGTGATAACCTATGCCACCACAGAAAAATGTAAAAGAATATAAATTGGAAGTACATGCCTGTCAAATACATAAATGCCTCTATTGAGTTTGTTTTGTGGCTGTGCTTCTAGAAATATTTGCTACAATTACATAGCTGGGGCAGCTGTATGCATCATCTTTTGCTGGTTTGGGAATTGTGTTCTATTTTGGACAAGCCAGACAGGCCATTTGAATAAGTGACTTTAGTGTCTTTCTTGGTAGACAGCAATAATGGCTAAATGATTAAATCCAGGAGATGGCAAAAATAACAAATCAGTACTAATTATGAAATTTTTAGAGTATCATAGAATAATGATGGCACACAGCTTTTGCAAGAGGAAATTATCCGGTTTTGCTATTCAATTCAGATGCCAAGCTCCAAATTTGCTTGTTTGATTGGGCTGGCACTCTTTCCTCAGAGACTAGAAAAAAGCTTCCATTAGCTTTCATTGGCCTAAATCAGAAACATCTGTTAAAAGCACAAAACACTCATTGGTTGAGATCAACAGTCAGAAACCTGCACAGGGGCAGAATCTTTCCCCTAAGGTAGGTGACAAGTCAGTCATGTCCCGTCATGACTCTGCATGTCAATATTTCATTGAGTTCCTAACTCAGCTCAAGCATGTGTCTTTCTTTGAGCTCTTTAATGATATTCTAAAATTAAAATTCATCATCCTATACATTTCTGTCTTCCTTCAAACTGGTGCTTTGTTTTTCACAACAGCATACAAATGCATTAGAAGTTTCAGAAAGCTAAGGGGAAAACCCAAACTCTTTCAGGCATTCAGAATAGCTGAAATACCATGCAAACAAACTTAAATGTTCATTTTTTCCATCTCATGCTCTTCTCTTTTACATACAGAGATTTGATTTAGAGCATTCTCTGAAATCCCTTCTGGCTGCTACAGACTTACCAGGTCCACATTATTGCTGTTTATGAGGAAAAGAACAAGGCCCCCTCTACAGGTTTTAGCTATACCCCACTGCAAATAAGCACAAAATAGAGGATTATTCAGCATGTAGCTGTGAAGTGTCCGTGTTAGGGTATGTTTGTCCGGCTGCGCTAATTGCATCCAAACCCCCATGCCCACGCTGCTACTGGCACTGCTCCATCTTCACATTTACTATAGCTCTGCTTCCTTCCCTCTAATAGCTTCTGGCATGTTCTCCAATCCCCCTATTTCTAATCCTGACACCCCTTTGCCAAACTGTGGAAGCAGCTTGGGGAAAAGGAAAACCAAAACAAAGCAGCCATCATCTTCAGCTGAAACTCACCCGCGTGCGTGGCTGCTTTCCAACATGTCTGCCAATGCCTGGCTGCCACAGGAACTACTGCAGGAGTGGGAAAATTGAGGGGAAGGAGCAAAAATACACAACAGGCACAGAAATTAATGTTACTGGCTTTAAAGGCAACGGCCATCTGTTTTCCTTACTGCCTGGCAGCATCAGGAGCTCCCTGCGGTGAGGATGGAGATTTGGCAGGTTTCCGTAACCCTGTTGAGCTTTTACTGTCCCTACCAGCATCCCCTGCTGCTTCTCTCCACACTCTCAGACCAATTATACTTAGACTTTTTATTGCAGCAGCAGTGCCCGCACAACCTTATACTTATGGGCACTTTAATCACCAACACCTATCCAAACCAGCAAAGTTCAACTACTGCTTAAGTATGTCATTTCTAAATTTGGAATTAATATGATTTTGCAGCCATGTTGCATCCAAATAATAGAAAACCTGGTTTTAAAATGTAGCTGAGGCATAGTTCACTCCTAAGAAAAAGAACTTGATTTAGTTTTGTGATAGCATGATCTTACCTATATTACCAAGATGTAAAGAAAAATTGTGTTATATTTTCCTTCTGTGGCTGCCATTTGAGTTTTTATTTGCATAATGCTGCTTTCCCAGGCAGAAGGTTGCCAGGAAAACAGAGCATGAAACCTGTCACAGAAATGCAACAAAGAGAATTTGGAGGCTTTGTTTGCAGTAGATCTAAACTGATTTCAGTGTATTTCATTGCCATAAAAATTAAAATAGACATTTTCTCAGTGTATAAGGTTATTATTAATGTTTATCTTCATTGTGTGTCAACTTTAAGCAAAAACAGCAAGTAGTAGAAAAAATACAGCAGGTAAAAGAATGTAAGAATAGACATTAGTAAGAAACCCAGCTATCCATAACCACAATCTTCCCTTGAAGTAGCAGCTTTTTAGTACAGTTCTTCAGGGCTGTTTTGGTTCTCAGTTATCACAGTTTTAATATAACTTACAATCGCTTCCTCGAGACTTAGTTATCCGGATTTTACAAAGCGTTATCTGCTTTAGGAAAAACCAGAGTGCTGCATAAAGTAATCTGTCATGCAAGAGCAAGAGCAGCTGGTGTAGCTTACATAAAATGGCAAATAGCCCAATGCAATAAAATGTAAGCATGTTCATAGCAAGAGCAACTATTGGTATAGAACAGATGCCAAAATGTATTTCTATTTGGATCACAAAATTATCTGTTTATCTTCTGTCATAATGAAGATAAAACAACAGGATACAACTTCCTTAAATTTGGGGGTGGCAGATTCTCTTTAAAATTTAGAGTTTTTTAAAATTTTATTTCACATATATTTAGGGCTCCCAGTTACATGATCTGAGTTATCACATAGACCTCAGCAAGTCAAAATCCAATTGGTTAGTTTATCTATCACCTCATCCCCTGAATTGTGGTTTTAAGTGAAGGGTTGTTTGGTTTTTTTGGGGGTAGGTTTTCTATTCTGTTCTGGGGGTTTTCTTACATAAAAGCAGAACATGGAATCAGTGAAGGTTTTTTTTCTGGTTTTGGTTAGGTTGTTTTGGGTTTTTTTAAAGAAAGGAGATTGTCCATTCAAGCATTTAGTACCTGTTTCAGACAATTTATTCTTTTTCTGATAGTTGTACTGTAATAGCTTTAACCACCAGGTGTACTTGGATCACAGATTACTAAATGCTCTGCCTGTGTTACCAGAAGCACATTGGAGGAAGGCTGGAATTAGGCTGCATCCCAGCTGCACACACAGTAGTTAACAGTACATCCCCTGTGAGAGGGATGAGGGGCAAGACCTGCTTAAGACATCTGAAGCTATTGAAATACAGACTAAAAATAGTAGCAGTGATCTCCACCACATTGGGACCCACTCTGTTCTTGGACTTAGCAGCAATTTAATCACTGACTGCAGAGGGTACAGTTTGATGTGCAGTTTTCCATACACCTCCCTAAGAAAGGTGATCTTACGGTGGTGTACTCTAGATGCCATTATAGTGTCACAGACATCTTTTGTGGAAAATCCTTTCTTTAGGATCTTTCCTTCTTCTGGGAAGCTGAGGCCCAAGAAGAATGTAAACACGGGTTATCTGCTGCTGTGGAATGCAACAGGTGCAGCTGTGATTGGTCTTCTGTGAGTGTTTGGATTTACTGACCACTCACAGGAGAGTTGTTCTTGCTTTCTGCCTGGACACAGAACTTTGTTGATGGATTCCTATTCTATTCTTAGCTTAGCAGCTTCTGAACTTGACTCTCTATTCCTATTAGCATAGTAATAATGTAACTTATATAATAAAATAATAAATCCAGCCTTCTGATCATGAGATCAAGATCCTCGTCTATCTCTTCACCCCTGAGAAACCCTTGCAAAGCCATGCAACATTATAGGAGTTCAGTAGTGCCTCCTGTTCTGAAGGCATTTACGAATCCCCTGTAAGGCTGTATTCTCTCTATTTTTTTCTCTTGTTAAAGGATTATTTGTTCACTTTGGTTCTACAAGAGTATCAGGTTTCCATTTTCTACTCAAAGTGCCTTGTCAGAAATTATTAGTGTTTCAAACAATTAGTCCCTTCTAGGCCTTTGTTTCCTTGTCATTGACAGCAACATGAGCTATGGGCCCACAAATTCAGTTTTACAGTCAACTCTGTCTATAAGCCACTGATATTTGCTGAGGAGTGAAATCCCTCCATGGGTCCATATTAACAGGTATGAGATAAAAGGAGGAGTTAGGGAAAGCAAAGTGGTTGCTTTGGTTAAATTTTTGCTTCTTTTGGTGGACAAAATTGTAATGATACTGAAGCTTAACATCCTGCCTTTTGCACAGTGGTAGCAGCAGCAGCATGGCCTAACTATATGTGACAGCCACAATGACTCGTTGTGCAGTATGTTTAATGATCTGTGTTTAATGAGAGCTGAGACACTTCCTGGACACTGTCCATGACAGTCCTTCTCTGAGGCTATAATCAAACATTTAATGTGAGAAGAAATCCTAGAGCAAGTATTTTCTCACTCCTTCTGCTGTGACTAGGAACTCCCCCAATGTGAATGTTGGAATGACCCTGTGAAAAACAGAAAATAAAAGCACAGCAAATGGAGCCACCTTTTTCTTCTCAGTGGATTTACCCAGCTTCCTAGTTATGATAGTTTTGACATTGATAGTAATAAGGCCTTTCTTATTTCTTTTAAGGTCATATACCTTCCATGAACAAATACCCATTTTAATGTCACAAGTGAGTAGGATTTAGGATGTAATGCTTACCTCTTCCCATCTTCCTTCTCCTAAACTTCCTAGTCAAAAACATTCTAATAGTAAGGAATCTGCAAGAACCTATGAGTGGATTGAAACCCACCAACAAAAGGAGCACATCAGTCCTACTCTCAGTATCTCCAGAGTGCCACCAAGTCATTGGGAAGTGAATAGTACCTGGAGAAAGAAACTCACTCTGCGGAGAACACAGTTGGGGTTTTGTTTTAATTATCCCACAGGCATGAGTTCCAATATGTTTGGTTCTCCTCCAGCTGTGCATTGAACACCTGCAAAGTACATCAGAGCCCATCAGAGCCCATGGACAGAAAGTCAGACTTTGTGCTTTGCGAACAAAAAAAGAGAGGGAACAATTTAGCATGAACACTGTGGTCTAGATTGTGCTTCAGAGGCTTAGGCCTCTCTGACTTGACAGAAAGAATGAGTTGTTCCACAGTTTTTTTGGCATTTTAGCATAGATGCCTCCTGAGGCCTAAAAATCATTTCCTGAAGCAGCAACTACCTGATGGGTTCAGTGGGTGCATCTTGAATGTGGCATTTACTGACAGAACCAGCACATCATGCTGCAAAGGAATGGGGCTTGGGACTCTTTACCTGTCACCTTCAGCAGGCTCAGAGCTTTTTATGTTTCCCTTTTCATGCCTCCTATGTCATGGATCCTGTGTAAATTTGGCCTTGCTTAGGAAAATTATCACTCCCAGCAGAGACTCCAGGGAGGAAACATTCCTTGAGCTCTCTCTCTATCCTGGAACAATAGAATCACTTATAGAGCTCCCAGCTGCTATTATAGTTTTCATAATATAAACACCTGCCTGCAGCAATGACACAACCAAAGTAATAGACATTTGTCCACTGTACAGCTAGAAATTACTTTCCAGCACTACAGAACCAGGCCAATTACAAACAGGTAAGCTATAGCTGAGAGAAAGGGTAATCCTATTCTGGTCTGGCAGCCATGCAGATGCATATATGTTTTTTAAATGGTCACCTTAGCTCTGCATTAAAGTTGGTTTGAAGCCAATAGTTCATTGCTCTAAGAAATTGCATTCCTTATGGGTTAATATTTCACTTGACAGGAATCCTTTCTGGCCAGAGATCAACTATGCAAACAGGTTTGTATCTCATTGTTTCCAGGAACAAGAGTTTTTCAAACCCTTTTCAAACACAGCTGAATCAAAATATATACTCCCCACTTCTCTTCCTTCTATTTAAATCTGTAACTCCAGGTCTTCTATTCCTGTCCTACAACAGGTTGGTCACTAACAAAGAACTTGACCTTACTGTTAAAAGCTGTACATCAGTCATTGCTCCTTCTGTCTTACCTTACACATGGTGGGCAATGGAACAGTTTGGATTTTATGCTCCTCTTTCATGTGTTACTATTGTTTCCCTGGAGTCCACTACAAGGAAGTGCACCAAAAATTTGGGAATTATGCTGGAAACAGCAAGACTGGGGGAAAAAAACACAACTGAGTCAGAAAAGCTTGTAGGTGATTTGGGTAAAGAAGATGTATAAGAAAAATGAATCAATAACAGGGAGATTATAAAATGTATATTGACAATGGAGTTTGCTTTTAATAATTTCATAAAATACTTGCTTCTTTTTGAGTGCTTTGAGTCTCCCAACATCAAACCTTTACTAGAAAATGTGTGTGGTAAAGATAAACAAGGCTGCTTCAACATTTATTTTAAAATAGACAAGTATATTTTGCTTTCTGGGCAAAATATACTTCACTTACAAAAATCTCAGTTCAACTCTTTATGCAGTATTGAGATACTGCTGCTCTTCAAAAACATGCATCAGCCATTACACAGCAGCAGCTTCACTCAAAGCTAGGACAGAACAGAATCACTTACAAACACATTGATCATAAATACTACTGATACACAATATTAGATCAGAAAA